ATAGTTGGTGCTATTAGCGATCATTAAAATGTATCTCTACTAATGCACTACACAAACTTATTACTCTCACTAGGTATTTTGGTATTATGATGAAAATAGAGATGGAAGTTGTAGCAATTATTGTATAATTGTAATAGTGCTTATTTTGTTAGTTATCCTATATGGGTATTATAAATGCTATCACATTAGACAATTTTATAAAAATGATCATATTTTTAAATCTACTATACCCCCTCCATCTAATGATAAGGAAATAAATCACAAACAAGAGGATAATGATCTATTTTTTAAAGTGGTTTAAATTTACAAAAAAAAAAAATTTTTATTATTTGTTAATTTAGTATTAAATTATTAAGAATATATTTGGAATAGTTGATTATTTATGTTGTTCTGTTTCATGAATATAATATTTTTAAGATATAAATAAAACTAGTTTATTAAGTAAATTAGTTAAGAATATGAATAATTTACCAAGTGAAATAAAATCTGCAATTTTTACGTATGTGAAATATCTATTTAATTTATTATATTTTACGTGTAAATTTAGAACTATATTATATGATAATATTACATATGTTGATTGGTTATTGTATTAGCATAATAAATATCACGTGTTTAATCATGCTATAGGATTAGAAAAAGATTTCTTAACTATTGGTATAATTGATATTATATTGAAACGAAATGTTATATTATCGAGATATTTTTTGCAAAAACTACATAAGTCGTTTGAAAAATATGATGAGAAGGTAATAAAATTATGTTCTGATATAGATATAATTATGAATCAAAATATTTTTTAGAGATATTCGACAAGGGTTGCAATATACTGCTATTTATTAAATAAAAAAAATGAATTATACAAAGATAATTTAAACATAAGAGGAAATGACTGTTATCTGTTTTACTTAATAGGAAAAGGTATAGAGGAAGAAAAATATAACGAGATGATTAAGTTAATAACAAACTTTAAGTTTATTCCATTTCTAATATCTCCAACATTAGGAAATGATTATAAATTCATTACTCATCAATGTGAAAATAGATACAAAATCAGTAAATATATGAACTTTATAGGAAGAACACTTGCTTTGTGAATAGAATTAGTAAAAATATGAAAGCAAAATGGATTTACCAATATTGAAGAGGTTTTAGTTGATTATATTATTACTAGTATCTTTATGTTAAATTATGGTAACTCTGGTATATTAAATGAAAATTATCTTATAAGGCAAGTAGAAAAATATGTAAAAGAAGAATTCGAATTAAATTATAGGGTTTTAGTAAAGTGTCTTGGTATATTTCATGGTCTTGAGTATATTCAAATAAGAATATATAACTTGAATATTGTTTTTAACATGTTTGAAAGACTCATGAAGTCAATTTTATTTAATGAGATTATCAAGGAAATCATAAAAATTCAAGACGATTTTAATGATTATATATTCTTTAAATTTCTGAAAAAGAAATATTATGATAAGAAAATATGTATTAATAACAATACTAGAAATATGTACACGCAATGTTTGAATTTATATCATTCTAATTTAATTTTTAAATTAATACATTTTTACAACTTTGTAATAGATGTATTAGGGCCAGAATATCTTGTCACTAAAGAGTGTTATGTTTATCTCATTAAATTTTATAGTCACTATACAACTTTTGATGATTTAAAAAAATACTTAGGTAGATACCATTCCAAGTGTAGTTTAGATGATAAATATATTAAAGTTCTTTCAGAATCAACAAATCCAATATTAATAAATTATATACAAAGTGGGAATTTAATAACCGAAATAAATATATGTATCACTATATGAAATATAAATAAATCTTGTAATGTTACAAGATTTATTCACATTTAAATATATGTTTATCAACGCATATCAAAAAAAATATAAAAAAGCAAATTCTGTTTAACAAAAAAAAAAATATGTTCATATAAAGTATTTTTTTCTAAATGATACAAATTCTATCTCTAACAAATGTAAATGTTCATAGACCATATTGAAATGATTATACAAGAGACTTGTCTCAAAAACTATAGTTATCTACGATAACAAGTAATCAACTGATTTTACAGAACAATTAGTTCTCTTTAACTAGACAGACTTCAATAAACATTAGCTCTCCAAAAATATATCTACTATCCTCATCTTCATTGTATGAATATGAAGAAGATATCAATGAAAGAAAAAAAAAATCAATTTTGGTGCGAAAAGCAAAGAAACAAAAACTAGATATAATGATATACAAAACATTAGCTGTTAAGACGTATCCAAATTATTTGCAGAAGAAGGTGTTGAAATGTTAGATGGGATTATCACAATTCACTTATAACATTGTCATCAGTTGGGATAGAAGAAGATGGTTCTTTAATATTAATAAACAGAAATAATGGTTAACATATCAGACGTTTAATGAAAAACTTTTATTATATTCTGACATTGAGGAACCCAAGTCTTGTGTATGGGAAGAATGCAAATTCTTGAAAAGGGTTGTCAGATTAGGATTATTACTCAAAAGATGTCTTGACAAAGTTCCAGCAAATATCATCGATGTATCCATAGACAAAGCTTTAATAGCAAGAGAAAACATGATAATGAATAATATAAAAGAAGAAGAAATTTCAAAGTTGTCATTTAGATCAAGAAAAGATCTGAAATATACTATTCCTATATATGCACAAAACTTTTCAAGAAAAGATTGGAATCATTTCTATTTAAGGTGTTTACATAATCAAACTATGAGACACCAAGAAAGAAACCAAATGATCTGTTAGAAAACAAATGTGACTTGAGACTATTATATTTCAAGACCAAGAGAAAGAATAATATCTGGCTATCAGAAAAGATCAATTGCGACTGCAAATTTATGTATCATAGAAAGACAAATAAATGATACCTCTCCTGGATGTACAAAAGGCAGAAAAAGATAAGAAAAGCTTTCAAAAAGTTTGCGGCTATTAATCCATATGTCAGAATACTAATTGTAATCTATTCACCTACTAAAGGCATCACGGAAATAGGTAAGAATGATGTACAAAGGTTGGTAAGGTTGGGATATCATGCTAACAAGCTAAGCTCAGTAAGAGACAAGTTGAACAATTCTAAGAGAAATAAGAAAAAGGCCAAGAGAATAGACAAGGCTGTAGCCAGAATATTTCGAAAGATCAAGAACCTGAAGAACGAACTTCACTGAAAGACAATAAATAATCTTATCAAGAATTACAATATGATTATGATCCCAGAATTTGATGTTAAGAATATGATAAAGAAAGAAAAGAGAAAGATCAAGTTCGATGTCATGAGAAGCATGTTGCCTGGTCACACAGATTATTTAGACAGCAGCTGATACACAAAGCCGAAGAAACCAGTCTGAAAGTAATCATCCAAGATGAGGCGTACACTTCAAAGATGTGCTCGTAGTATAGTAATATTCAGAACATTGGTAGTAGGAGGACTTACAAGTGCAAGAAATGTGGTCTCATAATTAACAGAGATATCAATGAAGCACAAGAAATATTCCTTCATGCGTTGCTTGATAGAGCTATATGCATACGTATGTAAGAATTAATAACTTGTTTATTAATGATGTATTACAATCCATTCAATCGTTACAAAGATTTATACTAGTACAAATGAATTTAAACAGTTTGCTAATAATACAATTTTGATTTACGAATCATGTTAATTTAAAATGAACTTGAAATGTACTTGTATGAATAAATAAACAGGTTGAATAGACATTTACAAATGTTTTATTGTCATATTTTTAATTTAGTATGAACAAAATAAATTCATTTCAAAAATGTCCATTATCACTATATAAAACATATTTTATTAACTTGTGTTAATCATAATTATAACTGTAATAAAACCCACTAAAAAAATATATAATTATTAACGATCTTAAAAAAAAATAAATGTTCAAGCATTATTTAACATTGACAATAATAACCCTACACTTTCAGTATCATTAGCTAGCGAGCATAGGGTTAACAATTCTATCAACAATTATAATAATGATATTTATATCTCTGACAATATGAATACTATATTAAATAAGTCATCTAACAAAAAAACCACTAAAAATTCTATTAGTAATTCTATTCTTATCGATGATGCAGAATTATTATCTCATACCCCTACTTCTATAATTATATACATATCAAATTTAAATAGAGAGAATATTACTCCATCCAATAAATGTTTATTATTTAATAAAGTTGTTGAAAAAAACGTTTCTTTAATTTTTTCGATGATTTTTTTTCCTTTAAATCTTATCATAGCCAGTAAAACATTCTATGAATTATCCAAGAAGAATGATATTCATACTAAATAGTTGATAAGACAATGTGAAAAAGATCACACTTTATTTTATGGTGTTCTCGTTGGAGGAAATTTTTTTAATGCGGAACTCATTGAGAAACTCTTATCACTCAAAGCTAATTTTTCTAAATATTTCTATCAACAATTACTTGCTAATTATAGAAAACATAATATGAATCTCATAAATACAAGAATTTTACATACAAATACTGAAGCAATATGTCAAGCAAACTTATATTATATGAAATTAAATAAGCATTAGGGTTTCTAAATAAGTGTAGAGACATTTTGTTATCTTATAATACTAGGAGATAGAGAATATAGTAATTTATTCTCTGATAAAGATAATGATATAGAGTTTTTCATGATTCTTATTGGTGGTTGTAGAAATATATCTGATATGAAATTATATATAGATTATAATTATCATTTATTAGAATGGTTAATTACGACATGTAAATTAACACCATTTTCAAGAAAACCAAAGTAGTTAAATGATCCCTATGATAGATTTACAGCTTTATATCTATATAAATATAATAAATATCTAATTGCTTTAGCTAGATTATTGTTAATTGATGAAAAGTTTATAGATTTATTTAAATTAAATGGTTATCACTTTGAAAATATCAAGGATTATATTATTCACAAAACCTTTAGAGAGTTTTACCCAATTAAACTACTATCCAACTGGATCATGCCTAATTATTCACGTGTTGAAACGAAGTTTAATAGATTAAAAAGCTTAGGATTTTGCTTTGGTTACAAGATATTTGTGACATATCTTTTTTATACTTCATATTTAAAGTGTGATGCTATATATATAATAATCAAGATATTCAAAAATTTTATATCTATTTCAATGGACCAGCTTTTAAGGGAATTTATAGATTGTAAAAGTATATTTGACAAGTCAATATTTGAAATATTGTTTGAAAAATATAAAAAATTTAAGGTAGCTAAAGGTACTATTAAATATTTCACCAATTCATTAAGAAAACATATTTCCCAACAACCTGATAAATTATTTAAACAACAAGGATTTTATAAATGGATCATTAAGACTTGTGGTTGTAAATCTGAATTGACAAGGTTATGCTACGAAGAAACAATTAAGTTTTATATAAAAAATTATAGTGATCTAGCTTTGTTGGGTATATTCGAACACGGTAATCTAGAAGATATTCATATTAATCTCCTTTCTAAATCAACATTCAGTGATCTTATTAGAAAAGTTTTAAGCAATTATAAAATTACTAAACAGATTTATGATTAATTAAAAGATTTTTTTATTAATAGCACAGAAGAATTTTGTAATATTGCAACTATTTTTATCAATAACTATGATAATTTAAAAAGAAGTATTGAAGATAGAAAAGATAAAATTTCCTTTAAACATATGCATAGGAACTAAGAAAAATTATGAAAAAGTTTACAATAAATTATGATTTATGAATAAATTTTAATCAATATTATATTTAATCATTATGTTTAAATTATTAATTAATAAAGTATGATAAATTTAACTATTAATCAGTACATTAAACTTTTGATATATTTGTCATTTGCTATGATTTATTACTGTAAATTCAAGTTTAAATAATAGCAGCAAACACTTTCACTTTAATAAAAAAAATACACAAAATGTCTAACTATAACCAACCAAATTTCATTTATTCTGATAGTTTTTCATCCGATTTTGATTCACTGGTAATTCCTCTCATTTATATAGCTGATGATAGTACAATGTATTATTTTTACTCAAGTAACTCTAGACCTAACCCTAGACCAAATATGAGAACCCAAGATACCCAGACTAACAAGGATTGTAAGTATACCAATATATTCTCAATAAGTTGGTACCCAGACTAGCCCTAACTATTTACAAACAGGTTGATTATATTGATAATACTCATCATAATAATAGTGGCTGTGTTTATAACTCTAACCATAAATAATTCAACAAGGATAGAAAATCTTACTGAAATTTACAATAATATGAAAGATAAATATGATAATTAAATGCATCTTATCAACAGAATCAATACAGAAATAGAGATGACAAATAATATAATAAACAAATTTATTCTTTTATTCAGTTCAATGAAATGTATACAGTTTACAGTAATAAAATAGTATTTTATTTTTCTTAATTTGTAACTTCTGATATCAACATTGTACAAATAATTCATGTATAAATTCGTAATCAATAATAATAAATAAATTTGACTTTATTAAAAGTAAATCTTAACATAATCAGACTCGTATTAATTAATCTAACTGTTCATCGATTCTGACTCATATAAATAAACTATTGGCTAATACATCTTATCTATAATATACATCAAAATGTTTCAATCAAAAAAGACAGTTGACTTTTCTGAAAAATATTATGTTACCAAAAAAAAGAAACATGATAAAATAAAATATCATAAACAAATAAAAAAATTATTAAAGAAAAACAAACTCTTAAAAGAAATTAAAGAAGAAAATAATATAATAGATAACTTGTGAAAAGAAATTTCTGAAAGAAATAAAATAATAAGAAACTTAGAAATGGAGCTTGAGCGTAAAGATACAGCAATGACTGAATATGAACTAATATTCAGAGATTGTTGGAATAGTCAATATCAACTACTAGTCAATTCTGACAGGTCATTAAATGTAGCTTTTGTTCACTTATATGATCTCAAGACAAATGAAATCATAAAACAAATGAGAAAAATAGAAAGAGGTTATCATCATAATTAAACAATACTCAAGAAGGCCAAGATACTACTGAAGAAAATTTAGTAACTTGTTCTCAATAAAATTGACATTATCAAACTAAATGACAAAATGCAATATTCACTATAGATAATAATATGATGATAAAGAGAAAACTGATTAACTATTAAATCATACATATCGATAGACATTCTTATTGAATCAAAGATTTAATAGCAAACTTATAAAATTTAAATAATTGAATTAAAGGATGAATGTCCTGATGACGATAAAGGAAAGAAAAGATCAAGAAATTACTATCAATAAATTAGTAACAAAATGATGAATTAAAAGATGGTGTCTGTCTGATGATAAAGGGAAAGGGAAAATATATAATTAAAGGTCGTTGATATTCTAATTCTTAGAATTCCTGAATACATCAACTATTTAAGAATTCCTAGTGTTGGAATATCAACGACCAAAAAAAAAATAATTGATAGTGCTTTTATATTTTATTTTTATTCAATGTAATATAATCATTATAATATAATAATTTGAAAATAAATATTTTATTTTGAATAATATATTAATAATAAATATATACTATATAAATATTTACAATTAATTTATCTAAGATATAATGTCTAATGAAAATATCAATAATTTTAAAATTCATTTGAAAGAAATGGAATTTTCTTATTTTTCCTCTCGTTAGCTATCTTGAGAAAGTCACTAATAACAGCGTATAATTGTATTATCTTTTCACTTTCTTCTTTGTCTTCTTCAGTCTTTTCATTAAAGAGACAGACATATTCGTTATGAGTCTTTATTATAGCTTGTTAATTCGAATTAGTATTTCTTTCTTGTTATAATTTACATTTCATATATTCAAGTCTACATCCAGCCACAATTAATATTAATATACCAACCACTAATCTAAAATAAAAATAATGCTGTAACATATTTATCTTTTCGTCTTTTGTATTAATAGTTTTTTCTATATCCTTTATATTCTTGATAGTTTTTTCTAAATCAGAAGAACTGAGATATAGATTATAAGACCAAAATATAATCACAAAAGATAAAATAACTGTAACAATCAAAATATATAACATCTTTATTTTTTTTTTTATAAAAAAATACAGTATTTGACAATAGTGAAAAAATTGTCAAGTATAAATTTTCTCTAAATACGTACAATGATATTATTATGTAACACAACAATTGATAATAAAATCATTTATAATTACAAAATTATACATAAGTATATATGTTAGCTAACGTAATCTTACATAAAAATATCTTGAACAAGTTTTATTAAATCATTAAAAATACATGTGTATGACATAATTATTCATTATTTAACTGTTTAATGTTGATAACATCATCTGAATGTAATATATTTTTATTCTTGGGAAACCTATGTATTTGAATCTTTTTTTCACAATTCATTTGTTATATTCTTATGCCTTTTGTAGGTATTGAGAAAATCTATTAAAAAATCATTCATATTAGGCCAGATTTGCATTCATTAATCTGATCTATTTGATCTTGAATAATAACATTTTCTGGTACGGGTATTCTAGTCTCTAATCATCAGGATCAGTTAGAACATTCTTGCTGAATTCCTATGTCTTCTTAAAGTAAGTATTTTAATTTTAAATTCAAATGATTGAAAATATTGAATGTCATACTGTTTCTTTGTTTTATTCTCTAAAAAAACTGCTGCAGCAAAAACCATTCTAAATTTAAAAAAAAAAGAATAAATAAATAATTGGTATATTTATTTGTAATTTATAAAATAGAACTTTAGTTTTTTTAGTTTTTGCACGTATTTTTTACAATTAAATATATATTTTATTTTATGAAAGTTAAGTAAAAAATCATTGTTTTTATCTTATCAGCTATGTGAATATTTTAGGTTAAAGGATTGACTTTGAGTATCATTATCAATTGAAATGATCATTCAATATAGGTAAAATCTTTATTTAAATTATTAATAAAATACATATTTTTGTTTATTATAAATCAATTTATTGAAAATTTGAGTGTCCTTTGGTTGGTAATATAATATAGTGATAAAAAAAAATAAATTGTTTGTGATTTAAGATAATATTATGAAATTATTTTATGTAAAAAATATTATATCACAAAATAAATTTAATTATGCAAATTTCTTCTTTCAAAGAAACCAAATCCAACCATTCTATCTCTACTACTACTATCTCTATCATCATTAACTCTTCGTCCTCTAACTTCATCTTCTAAATTTGCTATTCGAGCTTGCACTCTATTTCTTTCTCTTATTAGCCTCTCGTACTCAAAATCTCTTATCCAACTTCTTTGAACTCCTTCAATAATTGTTTCTTGCTGCTCTCCAACTCGTTTCTCTAATGCACGAACTCAATGACGTAAATTTCTTATCTCTCACACCCATCTAAAATTTTCTTGTAAGGTTAAAATATATATAAGTTATAAAATAATATATTATTTATAAATACCTGTTATTTTCTGTTTGGACTACATCCAAAGCTTCAAAAAGATGATTATTATTACTTCTTCTTAAATATTGACCCTTAAAGTTAAATCCAACATGAATAAGTAACGTTAGTAAATGATAAATAACACATCAGATCTATAAGTAAATTATCTAATACTTACTACAAATGACGATGAAACAGATGAGTAATTAAGAATACAAATTGTACCTTACAAGACATTGATAAACATTTAAATAATCAATATGTAATAATAAGAATTAAATTCGTACTAGAAGATATTCTTTGTTCACAATCATAGTGACAAGTTATTATTATTATTTTTTAGAATTTTTTAATTAGAAAGATAATTTTATCATCATTGAAAAAACTACTTATCGGGCCTGATTAAATTTAAAAATTCCCATTGGTCAATCAATGTCAAATTCCTAATATTTGTAAGGAGTCGATTAATTTTTTATTATAATTAAGCATTTGTAGTATAATGAGTCGGACGTGTGTACTTAGCATCTCCCTAGGTCGAGAGTTCGATCTCAGCTTAGGGTGAGCCAATTCTAGCTGACGAGTCCAGAGGGTAGCCCTTAAGTTACTACATCTATAATCTTTTACTATTATATTATATAATTATAAATATACTTGTTTAGTCATTTTTTTTTGTCAGTGTAAGAATAACTTGAATTAAAAAGATTGACAATCAGAAAGATATTTTTTGATATAAAGATAATGCATAGATAATTGGAATAAGGAACTATCGATGTTACATATCTAATTCACATTCAATTAAAAGAAAAATTATTTATATTAGCTTACTCTATACATTATATAACAATATACATAAGTTACACACAAATTATACTATTTTTTTGGAGATGTATCCGCATATTCAGATTACAAGATAACTGTTCAATCTGCTATTCATCAATAGACAGACTAACTTATTCTGAACTCTGTAAACTTGAATACAATTATGAAAGAGCAATTGGTGTCAAGAAAGATAAAAAAAGGTATTTGAATATTACATGAAAGCTGCTGACATGAGACATGTCAATAGAACATATAATGTTAGTTATTGTTATCAAGATAGAATTATTGTTGAGAATGATGAATATAAAGCATTCGAGTATTACCATAAAGCTGCAGATATGGGCCATGTCACTGGAACAAATAAAGTTGGTTTCTGTTATCGAAACGGAATCAGTGTTGAGAAAGACGAAAGCAAAGCATTTGAATACTATCTGAAAGCCACAGATATGAGTAATGCTTTCAGAGTACATAACATTAGTTATTGTTATCAAAATAGAATTGGTATCAAAAAGAACAATCATAAAGTGTTTGAATATTATCTGAAAGCAGCAGATATGAGTAATGCTGATGGAACATATATGATTAGTTATTGTTATCTAAAAGGAATCAGTGTTGAAAAGGATGAATGCAAAGAATTTAGGTGGTTTAATAAAGCTGCTAATCTGGATTATGCTCTTGCAACATGTAATGTTGGAGATTGTTACTATAATGGGATAGGAACTAAAGTAAATAAACGAAAAGCTCTTGAATATTATTTAAAATTCACTAAATTAAATAATGAAGATAGAATAAAAAATTTAAAAAAAATTTCAACTTAACTTGAATTCCGTATGAAGAATTTGATCTAGTTAGAATGATTAGACAAGGTGGATATAAAACTATATCTTTGGCTAAATGGAAAAATACATTAGTTGCAATTAAATCAATTTATGATTCTAATAAAAACCATAGTAAATTCTTGAAAGAGTTAATAACCTTCTGTGATATCAGTGATGAAAATCTATTATTTTTAAGATGTTATGGTTTATCTCAAGAGAAATCAGGAAATAAAAACTGTATTATCATATTGGAATATGCAGAGATAGGTTCTTTAAGTAAAAATCTTCATAACATTTCGAGAATGAAATAGAGAAATAAATTAAATATATTACACTATATCATTTTTGATTTGGAAACAATTCATTTAAATGATATTATACATAGAGATTTATATAGTGGAAACATATTATTAAATAATATTGATAGTGCATATATTAGAATTTAGATTTGTCTACTTCATATTATAGTTTACAGCATAATAAGATCAATGGTGTCTTTCCTTATATTGCATCTGAAGTATTATTAGGTAGGAGGTTTACATAAGCATTGGATATTTATAGTCTCAGAATGATCATGTCAGAAATAATGACTGGTCAAAGACCTTTTGATAGTCAAAATTTTGATACCAAGCTTGCGATAAAGATCTGCAATAGAGAAAGACCAGAATTCATATCAGAAACACCAGATTGTTATATAAAGTTAGCCAAATGATGTATAGATGTTGATCTGATTAAGTGACCAACTATTAGTGAAATTAATTCAATCATCAAGGAATGGATAATGATAATGGGGATATCAAAAAACAATTTCAATTGCTAATGGAATAAAATCAAATCCAAATCCAAAACTTCATCCTGATCACATGTATACTAGCAAAATTATAAATACTAAAGAAATTAAAACAGCATCTCAAGGTATGTATTTTATAAAATTTTTATTATAAAGTGTTTTGTATTGATCTTTTTATTTTTATTTTAGATTTGAATAGTAGATTACAAAATTTGAAGATCTGATTTGATATAATATATTAAAAGATAACATAAAAAAGAATAAGTTTGTATAATAGAATAAGGGAATTAAATATGTATAAAATAAGCAACTAAGACTTTAAGTTTATTTAAGTTTATATAATAAAAAGTATATTATTTAAGATCATAACAATTTATTTCGATTTGCTTTTTTGTGAAGTATATAATAATAGCATAGTAAATAATATTAACACTTTTAAAAATTTCTTAATAATCCCACATACATTTATAAATAAATCATAAATAAAATATCATATTATTCGTAAATTTAATTATCGTTTGAAGCATTATCAATTGTCAAATCTTGTAATTTACTATCAACATCAGAAATCAGTTTAGTACAAGGAATCAACTTGCTAGTGTACATGTGTGTAGGATGTTTTGGATCGACAGGTTCTGGTTTAAATCTGTCAGCATCCAAAAATTGCTTCTTATAGTCATTCTCGTTATCTTGATTCATCTGATCAAGCCAATAACCAATGCTTTGGTTAATGATAGTTGCAGTAGGTTATTTCTTTAGATCGGCATCCATGCATCATTTGGCTAACTTTATGTAACAATCTGGTGTTCCTGATGCAAGCTCAGGTCTTTTTCCTCTAATGATTTTCATCAAGAAATTAGTATCTTCAAAGGGCTCTCTGTCGAATGCTATAATTCCTGTTGTTATTTCTGTTATGATAATCCCAAACCCATAGATATCTGCTGATTGCGTAAACTTTTTATATATAAAAACTTAAGGAGCAACATAAGGTACAACACTATTAATCTCTTCATCTGATGCCTTGTCTGATGTAAGCCCCAGGTCTGTAATATATGCACTATTTAAATGATCCTGTAAGATGTTTCCTCTATGGAAATCACTGTGAATCAATTCTTGAGAATGAATCGATTCGAGATCACTGGCGATACAGTGTATCAGGTTCAATTTCTTTTTCCAATCCATTCTTGATACTTCAGGAAGGTTATCATGCAGTGAACATTTCTTCACATATTTCATAATGATCAAGTATTCTTTATTTTTCGGATCTCTTGATATCCCGTGACAATGCAAGAACGATGGATTCTTGTACCCAATCTCACAATACAGTCTTAATTCTTGTAAAAATTCTTTGATATTTTCATTTGACCCATCAACGGACTTAAGCGTAACCCATGACCATATATTTCGATTTTTGTCAAGCCAATAAGCTTTGAATACGGTCACGAATCTGCCCTTTCCATTTTCTTCTATATGTTGAAATTCGTTATAAGGAATCTATAATAAATAATATTGCTCATCATATAATATTGTCTTTAGATCATCATGAATATCTTGTTCGTACACGAATGACTTCGATTTCTTTAACTTTCTTTCCTTCTGGTACTAATGATTGGCTCGTTGAATATCTCTTACGACTCCTATCCCATTTCTGTAACAATCACCAACATCAATTATTCCTTGCATATAACCCAGGTTGGTATATTTCATAAAGTATTCAAACGCTTTTTTTTCGTCCTTTTCAACTCCTCCCTGTCCTTCTAAATAAAAATGACCAACCATATATATTCCATTAGTATGATCTATGTCTGCTGCTTTCTGGTAATATTCGAACGCCTTATGTTCATCCTCCTCAACACCAATTCCATTCTGATAACAATAACCAACGTTGTATGTTCCTTTAGTAACATTCAGATTGGCAGATTTCTGGTAGTATTCGAACGACTTTTTTTCATTCTTCTCAACACCGATTTTGTCTGCATAACAAACACCTACAGTAAATGTTGCAATAGCATGACCCATGTTCGCGACTTTCACATAATACTCGAATGCCTTACAGTCATCCTTCTCTACACTAATTCCATCTCCATAACACCAGCCAACTTAAAATGTTCCACTACTTTGACCCATATCCGCAGCTTTCTGGTAGTGTTCGAACGCCTTATGCTTGTCCTTCTTGACACCGATTCCATATCGATAACAAGCACCAACACCACATGTTCCATCAGCATCACCCATCTCTGCGGCTTTCTGGTAATGTTTGAATTCTTTATTTTCATCCTTCACAACCCATTTGCCATAAAGATAACAACTTGCAAGAATGACTTGAACCGTAGAGTTTATTTCATCATTTAAGCACCAATTTATGATATCTTTTGAATTCTGATTCTTCTTTGCTAGAAATATATCCAATATGTTAAGAATCTGTTCTAATTCTTTACCTTTGGATCTTTCTTCATTATACAGATTACACAATTCTTTAACAATTTCACTAAAAAAATCTTCTGGTCGATCATTATCTTCCATTTAGTTAAAATTATTGAATCAAATACAGTAGCTATTTAATTTATGCAAATAAAAAAACTGGTTACACTTAATTACCAAAACAGAATTTTGGTATCATGTATTATTAAAAATAAAATATCTGTAAATAGAGATGCGATCCAGATATCCGTTAAATTTTAAATATGAAAACGGATAACGGATCGCATCTCTATCTGTAAAGATCAAATAAGCCAGAGTTCAAATTGAACATTTTTGTCAATTATCACTATCAGCTAAGGTTAGGTGGATATATGAGAATATTTATTTTAATACAATATTATTTATAATATGATACTACATTTGTTATGAAATTATTTAAGTTGGAAATAAATGTGATATTTTTAACAATAATTTTTATTTAATCATTGAAAAATACATGTGATACAACATAAAAATTTAAACATAAAATGAGTGTCCTTTAGTTGGTTATCCAGGCCATGCCGCATGGAGGCAAACACTCGTGATAGCCCAGTCCTCATCAAACGTTTAAGTAAACGAATGAATCGTTGAACTCTTGAGAAATTATACCTAAAAAAAACAAGTGAGAAGTGTAGTGCCTATCAACGGCCACATTTTTTTCTTTTTTTTTTGTTTGGTTAGGCAGCATACGCATTGAAGTCAACCAGCCAAACATTACAGTATACACAGCAACTACTACACTTCCCTCAATGAATCATTGTCTTCATTTATTAAATAAAAAAAAATAAAAATAAAAAAATATGAAATTGAAGTACCTAGACAGTATCTTCTCGAAAGGAGAATTGTCTCTCCATCAATGGTGGAATCCTAACTCTGTATCTTCTAGCTATTGCTTCTAACTGTTCAACTCTTCTTCCCAAATTTGACGTCTTTAAAAAAAAAAAATAATAAATAATAATTATTTTTTTATTAAATTAAAACAAATTAAAATATCTGTCTTTGTAATTCTCGGTTCCTCAGATTGGAGATAGATAATTCTCCTTGTATCCTTGACAACTCCGATCTTAATCTCGCATTTCCTCTTGCTTCTTCTTAGAGAAGACGTGTCAAAGTAGTAATTTGCCTCTGTAGTAACCCAACTCGATCTTGGAGAATTTCTACTATTTCATAAAATATTACATCTCTTCGCCTTTCTATGGCAGCGTTTTGGTTTCAACTATTATATCTCGGCATTTTTTTGGTATAAAATTATTAAAAAAATAATAATTACTTAAATATCTGATAATGTTCAGGGGTATGGGAATTTTAAATTCAGATTCATAATGTGGTTTCAATTTCATTCTATCATATACTTAATTCCATTTCGTCTTTTTGGCATTTTTTACAGAATAATCAGATAAGTAATTCATAAGCTTATCATATTGCTTTGTTGTAACTCGTTTACAAATTGTACAAACATGTTTTAAAATAAGTTTATTTATAATTAATCCTGTTTACTGATTAACCGGATGACCAATTCGCAGACTTTTATGCAAAGATAATACAGGGTGTGGGAATTTGATATACAGTCAATACTGGTTTTAATTTCTTTTTGTTGTTTATCAAATTCCCACACCCTGTGTTATCTTTGCATAAAAGTCTGCGAATTGGTCATCCAGCTAATCAGTCAAAAAAAAAATATCACTTCCACAAAATGGAAAAATACAATGCAATAAATGCGGAATATCACGTTTTCGTTATCTTATAAGCAAAGAGATTTGTAGATTTTGTAAAAATATAAACATACGTGCTTCCCAGCTTCGTTCCCTCCAATTGACTGAGGAAGCTTGGGGAGAACGGACGTCTTCACACGTGACCAGGCTGTCTTCGCATCCATATCTCCATCCTTCTTGACGTAGCCAACTATCATCAGATGAAGATCGGTCTTCGCATCATCAATTACCTCCCTCCCTACCTCCTAATGAAGAATATATCGTGATTTCTGATTCAGGAGAAACAAGAAATGGTAGTCCGTCAGAACAGGTGGTTGGTCCTATCAATACAACCTCAGCTACCAGAACTAGCGAATCTTCGCTTTCATTGCCTCCTCCTAGTTCCTCAAGCTCATCAAGTGAAAGTTCATTTAGAGATAGTAATAGTAATAATGATAGTAATAATAGAGGTCCTGAAGGAACGATTAATATTAGAGATGTAGTTAATAATGGGGTTATTTGTATGCATTATTATAATTATTCTAACTCTTAATATTCTTTTTTTTCATTTAATAAATATAATTACTCTATAAAATAATTAAAATATCATAACATGCTCGTATAAAATAACTTTAAACTGTGGCTTTTTTTTAATCATCGTATGATTTAAAAATATGCAAATTTTCATAGTCGTGAACTAATTACTTGTTATAAAAATTGCATCATCTTATTAGTATACTAATCATAGTAGTTCCCGGTCTAGAATTTTTTTTTCATCAACAAAGAAATGATTTATTTATAAAAAATACTCTGATAGTTGACAATAAGTATAAAAGTATATCCTTTGAGAATGAACGTCTTTAAGGCTAGTACATTAATGTACTTACCACATTCTAACTCAACAAGAAACTTTATTGTCTCCCGAACCAAAATCTCTAAAGTCACCTCAAATAATAAATGGTGATTTTCTTAATATAGATGATTCATTTTCATTATTTTCTTATCCCTGGTTACAGTTCATTTAATTCTTTAGTTTTTTTTTATTAAAAAAAAATTATTTTATTTCCAAAAGATTTAATGAAAAAAAATCATTAATATAATTTTTTATTGGCTTTCATTCAGTTTGGAATCACTTCCAAACTATAAACCAAAGAAAAAGTGTTCAATCCTCTTAAATCATCTGTAAAAAAGAAATCGTTGTCATCGTACTGAGAAATGAATAGGGAAAACAAATGTTGACTCTTTCTACTCGTCAACATCATTACACCCAACGACCGTCTTTGGACAATAGATGCAAAACTTTACTATTTTCGGTAAAGCATCATTCCGTTCTATCAATTATATAATTTCAAATTGATATATCAAGTCTTGATCCTATATGTAAATCAATATCTCAAGAGAAGAATAAATGATGTTAATACAAATACTTACGTTTTAGTGATTATAATAGTATTAGTCTATTTTACTAATAAATATCAAAACATTCCTGTTCCGCTAATAAAAGAAAATTCTGAAGAAAAAAACTAGAAAATTTTTTGAAAATCTTTAAAAAAAAATCAAAAGTCGTCAACGCCCCCCTCAAGAAAAATATTATTCCAAAAAACGGAAATAATCTTTCAATTAAAACAAAACAAGAATATATTTTGGAGTCAGAAGAATTCACCACCATTAAAACTCGAAAATTCAAAGTATTAGAAACCACTAGCCAATTACTACATTTCGCCGATAAAAGGTATATGCTATAAATATGAAATAAAATACGATGAATACGGAGGGAAAGCACAATCTCCTAAAACTCTGCTATGTTATCATGACATGCATGAATATGAAAAATGTGCTCAAGCGTTTCCTACACTAAATATTTTGATAGTGAGGGTAAATCTATGTCTATAGACTGTAGAAAGTTAGATTAAATATTTATAATAGAACTAGGCGCTTGAGTTGCTAAGGGAGTTAAAATTGAGTGTAATATATTATATTATACTGGTATAATACGTATGTACAGAAGCGTGTAACAGAAATACATAGCTTCTTATGAAATTATATTTAAAATTAACTGATCTTTTGAATAAAATACATTTCGTATTAAATTTATTATATT